CTGGACCAGCAGCTCCCCCCATGGCTCTGCCATGGCCGTGGGCCATGCACCCACCTTCCACCAATCCTACTTTTCTAAGCATGAATGACCAATAAAACAAATGCTCCTTCCAGCACAGTCTCCCTCCTGGGCCTGGCCCTAGTTCACACCTCAGGCGCCTTCTCCAAGGCCGGGAGCTTGGGCGGCTCCTTGGCACCTGGCATCTCCAGTAAGGTCCCAGACCAGGGTCTTGGGTCTCCAGTGGCCCAATGTCTTATTTTTATAGAAGAATGGGTTAAAGAGCTCCCACAGCCCAGGCCCCGAGGCCATGGCCCAGGGTCACACTGCAGGTCATCGTCTGCTCTATTGGGAGTCTCCCTGCACACACTATGCCGACTGTCAACAGCTTCACTGGAGCTGGCCAGTGGCTCGGTTGGTCAGAGTGCAATCCCAATACACCAAGGTTGCGACTGGATTCCGGTCAGGGCACAGACCCAGGTTGCAGATTTAATCCCCAGTGGGGCCAGTATGGGAGGCAATCAATTGATGGTTCTCTCTCTTTCTCTCTCCCTTCCTCTCTCTAAAATCAATAAACATATATCCTCTGGTGAGGATTGAAAAAAAAATTAAAAATGGAACTCCCATTTGACCCAGTAATCCCACTTCCAGGAATATATCCCAAGAAATCAGAAATACCAATCAGAAAGAATGTATGCATCCCTATGTTCATAGCAGCACAATTCACCATAGCTAAGATTTGGAAACAGCCTAAGTGCCCATCAGCAAATGAGTGGATTAAAAACTGTGGTACATCTACACAATGGAATACTATGCTGCTCTGAAAAAGAAAGAGTTCTTACCATTTGCAACAGCATGCGTGGACCTGGAGAGCATTATGCTAAGTGAAATAAACCAGTTGGAGAAAGATAACTATCACATGATCTCACTCATTTGTGGAATATAATGAACAACATAAACTGATGAACAAAAACAGATCCAGAGACACAGAAGCACTGAGCAGACTGTAAAACCTCAGAGGGAAGGCAGGGGAGGGTGGGGGGAGTAAGAGATCAGCCAAAAGACTTATACCCATACATATGAGCATGACCAATGGACACAGACACTAGGGAGGTGGGAGCATGGGCTGGGGACAGGAGCGGGAGGGGAGCGGTCAATGGGGGGAAAAGGAGACATATGTAAAACTTTCAACAATAAAGAAATTTAAAAAAAAAAAAAAAGAACCATAAAACAGTGCTCCTTTTCAACACCAAGCCCAGAAAAAAGAATTTCCAGTGCTGGCTAGAGACCTCTGGCACCTGCCTCCTTTTTTCATCTTATCTGAAGAAAAAGCACACTCAGAGTGCACACTTGCAATCCGAAGATTAAGAGAGGAGCCGAGAGGAGCGATGAGGGGGAAGACAGACATTTTCTCTGCATAAGAACAGGGACATTGTTGGCACCAGGAAGGTTGGGCCAAAACCGAAGGCCAAGTGGACAGAGGCTTAATCGCCCGCGGTGTCAAGAGCAGGTGAGGAGGCTGGGCAGGCAGACCTGCAGCCCACGGGTGGGCACCGGGGTGGGGTCTGGAGCTGGACCTGGCCTGCGAGGAACTCATTTGCTTTTGGCAGCTGTAACTTCCTGTTTTCAAAGGGCAGGAGGCGTTGTTAAGAGAAGCCTCTCCCTGCTTACTGGACAGCAACTATTTCTCACAAAACACAATTTTTGCTGCATTCAGTGGAGATGAATCAGACGCCAACGGAACCAATTTATTTTATACAAAACAGAGTTCTGTGATGATGGGAAGGTCCTCGCGAGGCCAGTGGGTTTTACTGAGAGCAGAAGAATAAATGAATCATTCCAAGATGTTAGACAAAACCCAACACACCCAGCTTCCCCCGGAGAGACGGCACTGGTGCTTCGCCCTCGGGAAGAGCGGCAGGCGGGCTGCAGGCCCACCGCTCCTCAGGGACGCATTCTTTCAATAAGGTCTTAGCAACACTTTATCTCTTCTCTTCAAGGCCAGTTTCGGTGTTGGAAATGCCACTCCACCAGAAGCAGGGCTTCTGGTCCTTCCCCTACCTCATCTCCAATGCGAGCAATGGCGCTCTCGCAAGAAAACCTTGTTTCTGAAGTTTCCGGCCTGCTCTCCGTGCTGGCTTTGGCGTGGTCCGTGGGTATCACCAGCTTCAAGCCATGGTCCCGTTTCAGTCCGTGAGAACGCTGGGAAGAAACCATCTGAATGTCTGCTCAAAGCCCCAGCTCAGTCCAGGGGATTCACAATTCTCTTGTGTGTCCGGCAACCTGCTGGGGCCACCTGAAGAGGGTCCCCCCACCCCTCATGCAGGAGAGTCCTGGGCGAGAGCACCCTGGCCGTGAATGAGAATTCAGGCATGACGACCTTGACACAGGTGAAGAAATGGGATGAGAGGGAAGCAGACGGCATTCAGATCGTCCCAGGTGGTCCGCTACCGCAGTGGTTCTCAACGGATGATTCCGTCCCCAGTGGGTAGAGGGCAGATGCTGCTGAACGTCCCACAGTGAGGAAGTATTTGCCCAAAATGTCATTAGTGCCGGGACCTTAGAGAAGAGGGCCCTGAAGGAACCGAGCGGAGCCCAGCGCCAGCCAACCCGCACCTGCAGGTGACCCTGTCCTCGGTCCTAGAAGAATGCCGAGTGGGGTCTCTGTGGTTCCACAACCTCCTAACCAGCTGAAGCGAGGACCCTCAGCCAGGCTTTGGCAGATTGGGCCACAGGAAGTCTGGGTGAGGGAAGACGCCTCACTCAGTTCACAACCATCCAAACGGCACACAAGCAAAGGCTTTACAGCTTCTATGTCACATCATCAAACGTGAAGGACAGCTTACTGTCCCCAAAAGCTCTCCACGAAATCACCCACCAGTCTTTCTTCCCACTCCACTCCTGGAGCCCTCTTTACCTCCGAAGGAGGCACCACCGGAAGTGAATCAATGGGCTGGCCTGCTGGGCGGGCTGGTGGCGCCCGCTGCCTGCCTGTGCCCACACTGCCTCTTTGTGTCTCAGCGAGGTCCCCACTCCCCCTCCTGCAGATGGTTAGCTGCTTCGATTGTTTCCCTCACAGGACCGTCCAAACCACAGAGCTTGGCACCACCTTCAAACTTTCCATTTGCCAGCGTCTGTTTATCAGATCCAAGGCGTGCTCTCAGGGGCTGATGGGCTGACAGGAGCCGTTTCCAGCCCGGAGGGAAGTCCAACTGTTATATAAGGCCACGCGGAGCCCCTTTCATTCTCCCAGACCTGACCCAGAGGTAAAGTGCTTTTGGAAACAGCAAGGTAACTGGCAAGGTGGCTGGCTCAGACAGAATGACAGTCACTTCTGCCCCGGCCTTCCTGCTCCTGGCTCCAGGCGGAGGGTCCCGGTGGGCGGGAGTGGAGGGGAGAGGCAGGAAGGGATCTTCAAATTAACTCTGACTGGATCACACACAGTAGCCTGAGTGATCTCTTCAGAACGTAACCTGGCCATGGCAGGGGGCCTGCTAAAGCCCATCACCAGCAAGGCCGCACACAGTGTTTCTCAATCAGATCCCCTGGACCTCCCCTCCCTGCATCTCATCTCCCACCTCCCCACCTCGCTCACGAGGCACAGCTCACACAAGCTTGTGTGGCCCTCCACACTCATCCCTCCCTCAGTGCTTGAGCCCATGCTGGGCCCTCTGCCTGGAACACTGTTCCCTCCCTGTGCTTTGCAGCTTTACTCAGCGAAGCCATCCCCGGCCCCATGACTAAGGGGCCACCTCTTGCCTCCCCTTCCCAACACTCACAGAAGAAGCACTCGATCAATATTTCTGAATTCCTCCCAAAGTTTCCTGCATTGCAGAGTCCCCTACAGGCAAATAATCCCAAATACAGGTGTTTGCCCTGGCTCCCCCGTTAGCTTATGGTCTGTCTTCCTTGTTTAAGAGTCATGTGGAAAGGAGACATAGGTACTACTCTTTGTAATATTTTAAGCAATAAAGCAACATTTTTTTTTAAAAAAAGAGTCATGTAGCAGACAGTGACCTTCTAGAAGACCTGGAGGCAAGAATTTGAATGCAGGGCACCTTGAACCAGCTACCACCCGAGTGACCAAATTTAATGAAGCTGGGACATTGGGAGTTGTCCCAGGCAGGTTCAGGCACTAGTCCTGTCTGTAGCGGAGGACTATTCCTGAGGGGGGGACGAGGGGGGGGAGGGTTATCCCCAGCACTTCAGCCTCCCTGCCCAAGTATGCCAAATCTGACACAACAAGGCCTTGGACAAAGACATGCCACCCTGGCAGGTGGGAGCCGGTTGGCTGGTGTGTGCTGGCATCGGCAGGGCGAGGGGACATGCCCTTGTGGGTCACCCCAGCAGACCTTCACCTCCCTTCATGTCCAAAGCCCAAAGGGTCAGTGTCCCTCAGTCACTGCTGACGGTAACTTCCTCACCTGTCCTCTGGTCCCATCCTGCACTGGCTACCAGCACATCCCCTTCCCTGTCTTGGAGCAGTGGGGCGGGGTGACACCATCCTCTGGCTGGCCAGGAGGTGAAGGCTGAGGGTCCTTACCTGCTGCCTTATGAGCTAATGGTCCCATCAAACACCCCCTGGTGATACAAGGCTTCTGTTGTCCATGTCCTTGCTTACAACCTAATGCCTCCAGCTATGCCATTTCTGAAAACGCAAGCATTTTGCTCATTTAAACTTTGTAGCATAGCCATGAGGGTTTTCTTTGTTTCCAGGCACCTTTTGTGATCTTCCTTCCCATGTATCCAATAATAAACATCAGAAACGAATGAAGGGCTAGATGAGTGAATGGCACTGTCATTGGTTTCCTGACTCCAGCCCAGTGGTTTTGCCAATGTTTGCAAAAACAAGCAAGTAGAGATGGTTCTATGGGGGGAGGGGCAACTCCAGACCTGGCCCCTTCAGGCCACTCAACCACACCCAAAAGAAAGCAAAAATCCTCTTCCTGTTGGAAAAGACCAGAACCCACCCCAAGCCCACCCTAGAACAGTCTGTACACTTACCAGAGTCAAACATTATGGGTCCAGACACGACACTGGGTCCCACGTCCTTCCAAAGGCAGGATTCTCCCAGCAGCCCTGCTGGCTCTGGCTACCGCTGCTCTGGCTTGTGGGTTTTGGCAGGAAAGAGCCTAAAGTGAAAAAGAAACCTCCAGAATTAACACCATGTCATCCCATCCTCAGCACATTTCTTTAGAAATTAAAACAAACATGAAGATGAAGGTGGAAAAGTTTCTTTTCTCTTTTCCGTTGCATGGCTCCTGAGGACACCACTGGCCTCGTCTGTGTGTAAATTGATACCCAGATACCTACAGAGACCAGTGTCTTCCCACTTATAGGAAGGGTCCCCTGCAGGCCTCGCCCTGCGCTGGCAGCTTTGTTGCTTTATCTCATTTAACCCAGCACCTGCAGAAAGATGATGAGGACACTGAGCTCACAGCACTTTGGTGCGAACTTGACAAGGTACTGGGAGGGCTCAGGACCAGTGCTCTCAGAACCAGCAATCTGGCTGAATGCAGCAACGACAGCATGCATGTGTGTGTGCGGGAACACAGGAGCACACAGAGCTTCCACCTGCTGAATGCCCACAGCAGACCACGTTCTGGGAACACAGACAATAAACAGGGGCCTCCCGGGTGCTCACCATGTCCCATGGATCCGGCCTCAAGCCTAGGACTTCTCTGCTGCTGCTCTTCAGAGCTGCTGGGATGTAGTGAGGTCCTTGGGGCTCAGTCCCTCTCTCTCTTTGCCTCTTAGCCCCGTGCAGTTTCAGAATCACCCATTCTCTCCCTCGTGCCCTTTTTATTCATTCAATCATTCATTCACTGGACATTTTCTGAGTTAACTTCCATATACCAAGAGCTAAGCACTTGCCAAACACAAATTAAAACAAAAACAGCCCAGGCAGCCTAGTGGCCCCTCACAGAAGTAGGCAGCAGCCCCCCTGGTAAAAGTGACTTCTTTCATTCATTTCACAAATAGGTACTCCAAGCCAGAAGCTAGGAACCCTATGCTGAGCAAGCAGGCATGGTCCCTGCCCTCACTTCTCCAAAGAGCAATGTAGTCTAGTGACTAAGAACGTAGGACCTGGGGCCTGTGTTCACATCCCAGACTCCTCCTTTTTCCAGCTGTGTGTCTTTGGGCACCTTACTTAGCCTCTCTGTGCCTGAATTTCCTTTACTATAAACAGGAGATCATGATAGTCCTTTCCTCACAGGGTCTTATTAGGCTTAAATGAATAAATAAAATATAAAGTATTTAGAAGAATGTCTAGCACATAGAAGCACCCAATGTTAGTGTGATTATTTCAAGCACGTGGAGAAGATGGATGTTAACAAGATGCATGATTCCAAACAGTCATAAATGTGTGGCAGGATAGAACCCTCCCTCCTGCTTGATACAACCCGATATGCAATCCTTGCCTTTTCTTTGCTTTTATTCCTTTTATGTGTTTTTAGCCTTCACACCCACAGCCCCCCTAGGAAGGCAACCCGTTCCCTCACTGGAACAGCGCACCCTCTCTCCAGTATCTAGGAAGGGGCGCCCAGGTTTGGTGGTGAACAACTTGACTTTGTTGGTATGGACCTTCAAGGTCTATGGCGAAAGAGAAGAGGCAGTAGTGTTTGTGGAGAGCTGAGAGGACTGAGGCAGGCGGGTGCTGAATCGGGGCAAGGGGCTCCCCCAGTTCCCGACCTTGCATTGCATACTCACATATTTTCCATCTGAGCCACTCGATGACAGAGCTGGAGGACAGACCTGTGCCTCTTGCTCCCTGCCATCCCCGCAGCACCAGAACCGTGGTACATGGAAGCGCATGCGTGCCTAGAAATGAATGAGGCAGTGAGTGAATGAAGGGGGGATGAACTACTAGCACCTGGAGCATTGGGCAGGGTAGGGAGGGGAAGCCCCCTGACTTATACGTGGGGGACAGGTTGAACCCCCATGCTGGGCCTGGCTGGTATGGCCCCTTCACGATGCTATGTGGGGAGGGCCACGCCTGACCTAACCCTTCCCATGGGCAGGACCCCTGTCAATCCCAGCAAGGCCCCTCACACTGTCCTGGTGATTGGCTTGTTTTATTTCCAGAAGCTTCTTTCCCCCGATCCCACTCAAATGCCCAGAAGCCTCTTTAGCACCTTTCTGAGTTTTGAACATCTGTGCATCTGATTACGTGCAGCTGGCACTGACAAGCTTCTGCCACCTGACGAAATCACACCCCAGGAGTGAGAACGGGCTCCGGCTGGGCCTGGCAAAGGTGAAGCCTCCTGCAGCCCTGGAGACCCCCGCTGAGAAGGGGCTTCCCACCGGGTCTGCAGCGGGTATGTGGGCAAAGGGCTTCAGCCCACATGTTTCACCCCCTACCTCTCAGTTTCTGTAAACCCAGCCCCTCTGCTACTAGTAAACAAGTGCCTGGTCCCATGGACCCAGCAGAGCTGCCTCTGTGCTTTGGTGGGTGGCAACTGGCTCGTTGCTGTGCACCTGTCTAGAGCTGCAAACCAGTGCCCTAGAGTTCTCAGCTCATGAGACTTTTTCCCATTCAATCCTGAAAAACTAAACGGCAGGCAATAATGGGTAGGAGTGGGACAGTGGGTGCCCCTCTAGATGGTAACACATCAGTTTGCCCCAGACCTCACCATTCCCTATCACTCATCACTGTAGAGCAGTGATTTTCAATCTTTTCATCTCATGACACACATAAACTAATTACTAAAATTCTGAGGCACACCAAAAAAAAAACCAACCTTTTTTTTTGCCGATCTGACAAAAAAAAAAAAAAAAAAAGGTATAATTTTGATTCAGTCACACCCAACTACTATTGTTGTGTTGGCTGCCATTTTTTTATTCGACTATCTAAGGGAAAAGAGGTCAGTGCCCCTGACTAAATAGTCAGGTATTACATGTTTTAAAAATGCCCGCGGCACACCAGCTGAAAATCGCTGGTCTGGAGATTTGCTGCCTGCCAGGTGCTGTGTACCAGCAGTTTTTCTCATGATAGAGTGAGTTAGTTTCTTTCTTCCTTCCTTCCTTTTATTCATTCTTTTGTTTCACCTTTCATTCATTCATTCACTCATTCAACAAGATGTCTTGAATGTTTACCATGAGTCAGGCACTATTCTCAGCACTAAGTATATAGCAAGGAACAAGACAGCAAAAATATGGGGGAAACAGACAAAAAGCAAGGCCTTTGGGAGCCACCAGAGCTGGGAGAGGCCAGGAGGGAGTCTTCCCTGGAGCCATCAGAGGGAGCACGTCCCTGCTGACACCTGGATTTTGGACTTCTGACCTCCAAAACTATGAAAATACATTTCTGTTGTTCAGAGTTGCCCAGTTTGTGGTCATTTTTAACAGAAGCCCCAGGAAATTCACACAGCACCCACCCCTGCCCCCGGGCTTCACCCCATCTCTCTGTGCTCCAGGCTTCTTTTTGTTCCTTGGTTTTTCTATGTTCTCTCCCTCCACTCTCCCTTAAAAGGGGTCTTGGTGACAGGGAGAGGGATGGGACCCTGAGCCTCAGTTCCCCTGGGGACTGCATCCAGCCAGGGTGACAGGGAAACCTGGAAGAGAACTTGGCCCCATTGCTCACTAATTTTTCCAGAACCTTCCATGTGTTTTCAGTTTCTGAGTTCCAGCCCAGAGCCCTTCACTCCGAAAGGTTTACCTGCAATGCTGGCCTTATATGGATTTTTTAAGAGCATGTCTGTTTTAGCTCCAAACTCTGAACATGACCCGTTGGGTATCTTCCATCTGGCACCTCAACAACCACATTCTGTGACTTCCAGGTCCTCGCACATCCATGGTTTTGCTTTCGCACTGTGAAAGGCCCTTTGTTGCTCTCAGGAAATGTCACGGTAACAATGGACAGTTAACTTCACTCCTCTCTCTGGGCTGGACCCAACCCAGCAGGGATGGGAGGCAAAGGGGCATCAAGGTGGGGTCAATCCTCCTACTAGAGGGTAAGCCTCATGTGGGCCTGGCCTCCCTCTGCTGCGCCCCAGCCGGCCCAGGGTGTTCAGTAAGCTCATTATGGAAGATGTCCCCTGTTCCACACCCAGCGCCCACTCAGCTCTCTCTGCGTTCCTCAGCTCAGTTCCCTTGACTGACCCTGGTCCTCAATTTCTCTGGCTCAGCCCATGGGGAACATGTAAGAACCCAAGTCGGTCAGACCATTCTGTCCCATGGTTCAGGGATAAGCATGGGACCCAATCAGAGCCAATAACTCACATGGTGAGTGTCTCTGGGGCTTCTAAAAGCGCTCCCTGCCCCCCTAGCTCTGGAATCGGAAGCTTGTGTTGGCCTGGAACTGCTGGCAGCCATCTCGTTAAACTGAAAAGTGGGACCAATGAGGGGAGAACTTGGTCCTTTCCCTGTTCTGAGAGCTCTGACCCAGCTTGCCCGAAAGCCAGATTTGATTCAGTCCATGGATTATTGTTCTATAAGTCATTCATTCTTTTTTACCCCCTTGAATTAGTTTGGATTGGGTTTTCTAACATATGCAACCATAATAGGCCTGTCCAATTATTTGAGTGAAGGAATGGAAGAACTCACCTCCAGTTCAAGCCAATGGGTATTTTCAGCACCCTGCCCATCTATGGGAACACAGCCTCTGCACAAAGCTGGGCTAGGTTCGGACCCTGCCCTCAGAGTTCAGAGTGTGACCCAGATGCCTAAGAGGCCTCCAGGCCCTGAGATGACCCCAATCCCCCCATTCTCTGTCCTGTGAAAGTCCAAAGTTTCCCCAAGATTTCTGTGAATTCCAACTGGTCTGGTCATCTCGAGGGCCCCTCGGATCCTGAGATTCTGAGTCCTCTTCACTGAATTAACATGGCGATGGATCCTCCCGCTGCCTCAGTGAGCCCTCTCTTCCACGCCATGAACAGCCACTTAGGGAATTCAGCCTGGACTCCCACCCCATCCCCCTCTCCAATCTCCTGAGGCTTCTCGGGGACAGGCATTGCTGGACTCGGGATGTGGGCCTACAGCTCAGCCTACAAAGAGCTTCTAACGGATCTTTAGACATCCTTGTTCTGGAAAGACCTTCTGCCACACCAGCCAACTGCTCCATCTCAAGTAGTTCGCAGCCTCGTGCGAATTCTCTGCCTCCTTCTGCTCTTCCCATGCACAGGTGCCTGCTCCCTCCAGTGCAGATTCAAGCCTCCCTTCCCCCACAGCAACTTAGCACTCTGTTTTAAGTTTCCTCCCTGATAGGGATTCTCAGGGTGGTTGTAGATTTTGTGCTCTACTGCACAGTGAAATTATTACCGTCGCCATGTAGAGGGAGCACCTCTCCAGTATGCCAACACTGTCTGGGCCTATCTTGCAGGTGGCAAAATGGAGATTCAGAAAAATCCAATAGCTTGCTCAAGCTCTCACAGCTTGTGAATGGAAAATCCCAGTTGAGACTCAATGGAGGTTGGAGCCAGATTCTCCCTTCAGCCAGAATTGCCTGGGGGAACCCTGTGATGATGGGGTGCTCCTTGTCTGCACTATCCAACAGAGTGGCCACATGAGGCTGTCCAGCACAATTTGAACATCTTACATTTTACTGTAAATAATTTAACTTATATTTACATTTGCACACATAGCCAGTGGTTCCAAATCAGACGGCACTCCTTTAAAAATATATATATATGCTTTTATTGCCCTAGTGGGCGGCAAACTGTGGCTCGAGAGCCACATGTGGCTTTTTGGCCCCTTGAGTGTGGCTCTTCCACAAAATACCATGTGCGGGCGCGCGTACAGTGCGATTGAAACTTCGTGGCCCATGCGCAGAAGTCGGTTTTCAGCCTGGGCGAGTCTATTTTGAAGAAGTACTGTTGCTATTTGGCTCTGTTGACTAATGAGTTTGCCAACCACTGCCCTAGCTGGTTTGGCTCAGTGGATAGAGCATCAGCCTGCAAACTGAAGGGTCCTGGGTTTGATTCCAGTCAAGGACACATGCCGGGTTTCGGGCTCCATCCCCAGTAGGGGTCATGCAGGAGGCAGCCAGTCAATGATTCTCTTTCATCATCATTGTTTCTATCTCTCCCTCTCCCTTCCTCTCTGAAATCAATAAAATTTAAAAAATTAAAAAGCAAGTATTATAAATATACATGCTTTTATTGATTTTTAGAGAGAGAGGAAGGGAGAGGAACAGAGAGATAGAAATATCGATGAGAGAGAAACATCGACTGGCTGCCTCCTGCACGCCCCACCAGTGGGGACTGAGCCCAAAACTGGGACATCTGCCCTGACCAGGACTCAAACTGGTAACCTCTTGGTTCATGGGTTGATGCTTAACCACTAAGCCACACCAGTGGGACAGACAGTACTGCTTTAGAACCAGTTTGTGGATCTGAATTTAGATTGAGCTTTGTACAAGGCAGAAGAGAAACCTTAGTGTCTCAAAGAAGGAGGGACACATCCCAATTTCTCACCTGGTGGACCGATGGTCCTGTCCCAGGCTGCCCATTCCTGAAGCTCATCCTCGTGTCTCCTCCTAGGACCTCTCTTCATTCCTGGTGGGGGCGTGCTCTGTCCTGCCTCAGCCAGGCTGTACTCTAGAGAATTCTCTGTCCTCTCCCCTCCCCATCCCATTGGCCTCACTAAGTCCTACTCACCATGGAGGTCTCAGCTGACATATTATTTCCACCAGGGAGCCGTCCTTGAGCCTTGCACTGGGCCCACATAGCTCCCCACCCTTTCCTTTATAACACTTGGCACAGTCATAGCAAAGTGTGTGTGCGCTGCTGGGCAGCCTGTCCTCTGCTTCCCTTGAGGACTGCAGCATGTCTGCCTTGTCCATCACCGTACCCACAGCAATCAGCTCAGAGCTCGGTGTACAGTAGACACTCGGGTAGCATTTGT